CGAAGGTGAAGATACTTGAGACCATCGTTCTGGCTTGTAAAAATGAGTAAAGAATTTCTTTCAATATGATATGAGAACAAACGTTATATCTGTTATCTCATTTCATAAACGTCACCTTCCTATCGGAGAATATTGTTATAAATGACTGTAAATTGTGGTGTCTGCCATTTGCAAGGGCGTGATAAATGCAAGACCTTTAATTGCACCTTCTTTTCTGCTAAGCTACAATTCCATTCAAGCTCTATTTAGTATTGGCAGCAAACCCAAAGCTGCAGGCACGATAAGTTTAAGAGTCATAACATCTATTTTATGAGCTCGTTCCACCTTTTTTAAAACTTATGTGCTGCATAAATATCGATACATCATACGCAGATCGAGTTACTGTTAAATTCTTCTAGTTTTTGTTCCGAAAAACTGCTGACTTCAAAAAGTAGCAGTGTGAACGAAGTTAGAAATTCGAAAGGATTTCAGCGATTTAAAGTTGGATGGTATAACGATAGGAGTTTGCTATCATCTCCGAATTTAGGGCCTCATTTGGAGACCCAACCTTCCTTCTCTCCGTAGTTAGTTGTTAACATAAGCGATGAGCGATTAGTTCATGGAAGTCAGTGTATAGTCTCAGAGCACATTTTGCTGCTTCTAAAAACTTAAATAGAATTGTATAGACATAAATGCATGATTTGTGCACCAAAATCCAATCCATCCCCAGAACTTCAATAGGTACGCTTTGCGGCAGCAATTGGATTCAAGTATGTAAACAATATACTAGAGTAGATATCTGCTCCCTTTACGGGCACATTTTTACATTAAACAAACAATTTTATAGCGATTATTCTTATTTACCCCGAACAGCAGCTTCGAAGTTGTTGGGTAACGATAAAACATGTGTAGGCAGTGATTCTAGATCGCTTTTGATTCCCACAGTTTTATAGAAATACATAGAAATATAGAAAGATGGCTTGCACACGTAGAATTGTAAAATGGGATTTTGCTAAAAGAGTATGGCTA